GACACTGGGGTCACGGGACCAGCCCCGGGACACGGGGGACATTGGGGACACGGGGGACATGGGTCCTGCCCCGGGACACGAGAGGACATTGGGGACACGGGACCAGCCCCGGGACACGGGAGACATGGGGGGACATTGGGTTCACGGGACCAGCCCTGGGAGACAAGGGACTCGGGACCAAGCACGGGACACGGGGAACACAGAGGACACAGGAGGACACGGGACCAGCCCTGGGACATAGGGGACGCGGGGGAACATGGGGAGACATTGGGGACACAGGACCCAACCCCAGGACACAGGGGAGAAGTGACCCAACTCTGGGACAAAAGGGGAGCCATGTGGGGACACGGGACCCATGTCCAGGATATGGTGGGACACAGGGGATGCAGGGGGCACGGAGGGGACATGGGGGACACGGGGACACAGGACCCAACCCCTGGACATGGAGGGACAGGGGGAACATGGGACCCAACCCCAGGACATGGAGGACACAGGGAGATACGGAGGGGAAATGTGGGCCACAGGGGACATGTCCCATCCCAGGACACATACACAGGTGCCACATCCTGGGACAGGAGGGACACGGGCCCCATCCCAGGATCCGATGTGGACGAGGGACCCTGCAGGGCGTCACTGCGGGAAATCGGGGACGCAGGGGACACAGGACCCCCCAGGGCCACACGCTGGGACACAGGGGACACAGGACCCCCCAGGGCCACACGCTGGGACACAGCACAGGACCCACCCCGGGACAGGGAACACGGGGGGATGCAGGACGTGCCGGGCGGCGCCGCAGGAGGGGGGACAGCGGGGACACGGGGCCCTCGGGGCCATGTCCTGCCCCATAGAGGCCGACGCCAGCGGTCCTGGGGAGCCTCTTTATTGTGTCTGCCCCTCGGTCCCGGCCCCGGGGGACACCGGGGCGACACCGCGGTCCCCGTCACTGCTTGATCTGTCCCCCGTCGCCCTCGCTCACAAAGCGCTTCCTGCCCCTGCGGAGCCAGGGGGGGCGAGGAGGAGGAGGAGGAGGAGGAGGAAGATGATGAGCGGGAGGAGGAGGAACAGGAGGAGGAAGAGCGGGAGGAGGAGGAGGAAGATGAGGAGGTGCAGGATGATGATGAAGAGTGGGAAGAGGAGGGAGATGAGGAGGAGGAGGAAGAGGAGGAGGAGCGGGAGGAGGAAGATGATGATGAACAGCAGGATGATGATGAGGAGCGGGAGGAAGCGCACGATACCTGGGCGGGCAGGCATCGCGCAGGGCGCGCGTGATGACGCCGGCGGCGAAGCAGCGCTCGACCAGGCGCTCGAGGACGCCCTGCGCCCCCGGCACGTCCAGGCTCAGCTCGCCCAGCTCCTCGTACACGCGCTCGAAGCCCTGCGGCGGCGGCAGCACCACGCTGGCCTCGGCCCTGCGCCCCACAGCCCGGCCCTGCGCCCCATGGCTCTTCCCTGAGCCCTGCAGCCTGGCCCTGCGCCCCATGGCTCGGCCCTGCGCCCCACAGCCTGGCCCTGAGCCCCATGGCTCGGCCCTGCACCCCATGGCTCATTCCTGTGCCCCATTGCTCATACCTCTGCCCCAGCGCCCATGCCAGGGAGCCTGTCCCTGCAATCTGGGGTTCGTCCCCATGTTCCCGGCTGCCCCACAGCTGCCCCCTGTGCCCCACGCAGAGGGGGTCGTCCCCTGCCCGGGCTCAGCCCCACATTGCAGACCCCCCGTGTCCCCCGTGCCCCACATCCCGCGCCAAGAGGCTCACCCGGTTCATCTGGTCGAGCGTCACCAGCCCCGTCTCCCAGAGCACCTTGAGCAGCGTCACCATCATGGAGACGGGCGCCTCTCCGGAGCCCTCGAGCACCATGAGCAGGGCCTGGGCGGCCGCGGGGTGAGCGGGGACCCCGGCCTGGTCCTGGTCCCGGTCCCAGCCCGGTCCCGGTGCCGCTCACCTCATAGACCAGCTCGTGGTGGAAATGCGGCACCTCGAGCTCCCGCAGGCACCGCTCGGCCTCCGCCACCTCCCCGGACAGCAGGTACTCGCGCAGCAGCAGGTTCATCTGCGCCGCCACCGCGGGCACGCGGAGCGCCACGGCACCAAGGACACGCACGGGGATGCGGAGCAGGATGGCACCAAGGACACCCGTGGGGACATGGAGCGCCATGGTACCAAGGACACGCACGGGGACACAGCGCAGGAGGGAACCACGGACACGCATGGGGACACAGAGCGCGATGGCTCCAAGGACACCCATGGGGACATGGCGTGGGATGGCACGAAGGACATGCACGGAGACATGGCACAGGAGGGAACCAAAGACACCCATGGGGGCACAGCATGGGATGGCACCAAGGACACCCACAGGGACACGGTGTGCAAGGAAACCAAAGAGACCTATGGGGACATGGCATAGGATGGCAGCAAGGACACTCATGGGGACATGGAGAGTGAGGGAACCAAGGAGAACCACAGGGATATGGTGCGGGACAGCACCCAGGGACCGCGGGCGTACAGCGTGGGATGGCACCCAGCGACTGTGGGGACACGGCACAGGACAGCACCAATGTCACCCATGGGGACACAGTGTGGGAGGGCACCAAGGACACGCACTCAAGGGCGCGTGGGGACATGGTGGGGACAGTGTGGGCCCTGGAATGGGGCCAGCAGTGGGTGGCACAGAGGAGCACGTAGGGACAGGGCACGGGATGGCCACAGGGACCCGTGCCAGGGCGCAGGACTGGGCACGGGCAGGGCTGTCCCCCGGCACCGGGGACCGACCTCCTTGACGAGGTGCTTGACGGGGCGCTGGCCGCCCCCCACGCCCCACACGTTGTCCAGCCGGTTGACGTCGCGCTTGATGCGGAGCAGCACGGCGGCGCGGTCCAGCGCGGCGCTGCGGGGCCCCGCACAGCGCCCGTCACCCGCCGTGGCACGGCACGGGGGGGACAGCACAGCACCCCGTCACCCGCTGCAACACGGCACGGGGGGCCCCGCACAGCGCCCGTCACCCGCCGTGGCACGGCACAGGGGGGACAGCACAGCACCCCGTCACCCGCCGTGGCACGGCCGCATGGCACGGGGGGGCACAGCACAGCGTGGCACACATGGTGTCACACATGGTGGCCCGGCACGTGGTGTCACACAGTGCCACCCACGCTGTCAGCCGCACTATCACCTGCGCTGTCACACACACACTGTCACACACATTGTCACACGCAGTGGCCCGGCACAGGGTGTCACAGACTGTCCACCCCGCTGTCCCCGCACAGGGTGTCACCCGCACTGTCCTGGCACAGGGTGTCACCCGCGCTGTCCCCCACACTGTCCCCGCACGGCGTGTCACCCGTGCTGTCCCCGCGCTGTGAGGACCGCAGCGCTCACCGGGCGTGCTCGCAGTCCACCTGGCCCTTGTAGCGCTCCAGGAAGTCGAGGGGCAGTGCGTGGTCGGCCACCGCGCGGGCGATGAACTGTCCCAGCATCTGCGCGGGGACAGGGCGCCGGCCCCGCTGCTGCCTGCTGCCCGTGGGGCTGGTCCCACCTGCGTGGCCGCGGCCCTCCCCGCACCAGTGTGCCCCGGGGTGTCCCCTCCGTCACAGCCATGTCCCCTCCCCGCACCAGTGCCCCCAGCACATGCCCTCCATCACGGCCACAGCCCTCCCCACACCACAGTGTCCCCCAGTGTGTCCCCTCCATCACAGCCATGTCCCCTGCAGCATCCCCTCACTGCAGGGCTGTGTCCCCCAGCGTGTCTGCTCTGTCATGGTCACATTCCCTGCCGCAGCCTGGCCCTGCAGGGCTGTGTCCCCCAGCGTGTCCCCTCCAACCCAGCCGTGTCCCCTGCCGCAGCCCGTCACGGCCCCAGCACATCCCTCCACGTCACCACAGGGCACCGTCCCGCACAGCGGGTCCCCTCCCGTGTCCCCCCCGGGCGGCGCTGCCCCCCATGCCACGCACCTGCGGGGCCTCGGGGGTGTCGAGGATGAGGTCGGGCAGGTCGCGCAGCACCTTGTCGAAGGCGCAGGCGATGTCCTCGGGGGTGACGACGCGGCCCACCAGGTCGGAGAGCAGGCGGGACGTCAGCTCCCGGTGGCTGGCCTTGCCCTCCAGCGCCAGCGCCACCGCCAGCGAGGGCACCGCGGGCTTCCTGCTGCCCAGGTTCAGCCCCCGCAGCAGCTCCTGCGCCCGCCGCGCGTTACCCGCCCGCCCGACGCCCCCCGCACCGGGGCATCCCTTCCCAGGGACCCCTGTCCCCAGCCCGGGGCTTCCCGACACGTTCCCACCACAAGGGTCCCAGTCCCGTCCCCCCAGGATCCCAACGGACCCAGTTCCCTCTCAGAGGGTGCCCATCCTCAAGGGTCCCCTGTCCCCACCCTGCAGGGTCCCCATCCCCAAGGAACTCCTGTCCCTGTGGGTCCCCTATTCCTTCCCAAGGGACCCCATCCCGCAGGGTCCCCATCCCATCCTTAAAGGGCCTCTCCTCCCACTGGGTGGGACCGCATCCTTGAGAGACTCTGTCCCCTTCCCGAGGGTGCCAATCCCCCAGGGACCCCTGTCACCTCCCGGAGGCAATTGGCTCCAAGGAAGCCCCATCCCCAAGGAACTTGTCCCCACCGTGAGGGTCCCCATTCCGAGGGACCGGGTCCCCTCCTAGAGGAACCTTCAACCCTTCCCCAAGGGTTCCCAATCCAAGGAAGTCCAGATCCCTCCCCTACGGATCCACATCCCCACGGGACCCTGAAAGAGTCCCTGATTCCTGCATGAGGATCCCTGTCCATAGGGGCCATCCTTTATCCCCAAGGGACCCCCATACACTGTACTACGGAACCCCCGTCCTCCAGAGACCCCCATCCTCCCGCCATGAGAGCCGCCACCCCTTGAGGACCCCCATCTCCCCGAGGCCCCGTCCCCTCCCTGGGGACGCCGCGCCAGCGCCATGGTCCCCGCGGCACCCGGCTCACCACGACCTCCCCGGTGTCGCCGTGCTCGAAGTACTCGAGCACCATGGGCTGCACGGTGCTCTGCAGCTCGCCCTCCTCCAGCTCGGGCACCACGGTGGCGAACACCGTGTCCCCCTGCGGCGGCAGCAGGACACCGTGTCCCCCGGGGTGGCACCCACGGGCGCCGGGGGCACCGTGTCCCCCGGGGTGGCACCTGCGGGTGCCAGGGGGCCGTGTCCCCCCGCGGTCGCACCTGGGGGCGCAGGGTCCTACCTGTGCCGCCTCGTCGTAGTTGGGGTCGCGGGCATCGGGCTCCTGGTAGCCGTAGACCAGCCCGGGGGCGCCCCACACGCCCTTGCCCCCCGCGCCGCCTGTGCCCCCACCACGGTCAGGCGGGCGACCCCACCCCACGCATGGGGGGCAGCACGGGGTGGGGGAAGCGGGGTCCCGACTGAACAGGGGGGTCCCAACTCCACAGGGATACAGGGGGGTCCCATTCCCATGGAGATGAAGAGGGTGTCCCAACTCCAGGGGAATGCAGGGGGTCCCGGTCCCGTGGAGATGAAGGGGCAGTCCCAACTCCAGGGAGATGCAGGAGGGTCCCGGTTCCACTGGGATGCAGGGGCAGGGGAGGTGGATTCCAACTCCAGGGGAATGCAGGGGGTCCCAGTCCCATGGAAATGAGGGGAGGGGGGTCTTAGCTACTAGGGAATGCAGGGGGCTCCCGACTCCATTGGGATGCGGCGGAGGGGCAGCTCCATGGGGGAGCAGGGGGATGCGGGTCCAGTGGAGGTTATGGAGGTCCCAATCCACACATGGGGGCAGGGGGGTGGGTCCCAGTCTCATGGGAATGCAGGGGTGTCCCAGCCCTGCAGGGGTGCAGGAGGCTCCTGGTCCCACGGGAGTTCAGGGAGGGGATCCCAGCCCCACAGGGATACAGGGTGTGCAGCCGGGTGGAGATGCTGGAGGGTGCGGGGGGGATTCCAGGGTCTCCCAGCCC